TTCCTAAGTTTTCCGGGAGAGGATGTGAGGCAGAGCAGTAGCTATGGGGAAATACAGTCAAATCTCTGTAGAGTGATGGTGGCACGGGTCCCCTGGGAACCCAGCGTTCTGTTAGCCCAGCGTTCTGTTAGCCCAAGTCTCTGGCCCTGTGAGTGTCTCTGGTGAATGCCATGTCATGAAACTTAGGCTTTCTGTTCCTTAATTTTATTCCTGTTTAATAAATGGTTTGTTAGGAAGAAAATGGTGTTCCCTTTTCAACTTCATTGGCACATCAAATAGCACCACGCTTTGTTGGCAATAGTCTTCAGTCAGTTCTTCATTTTCTCATTTTTCAGTCTCCGTTGGATCTAGCCCAGCATTCTATGCTGAGAGGATTACATAGTCAGTGGAGAAGGGGGAGCTACAGGGAGTCAGGGAAGGCATTCAAAACTTTGCCCCATTTTCCAGACACTGATGCGAGCAAGCATGCAATGGCTGATGCTGAAAGGAGACCACATCTGACTGTCACACTTCTTTGCTGGCCTTGACAAGTCCAGGTCTGCCCCTGGTGCTTGCTCTTCTCCAAGCAGGCCGAGGCTATGATACTTCTAGGCTCTGTTCTCAGAGGCAGTACTCCTGTACCCTGGGAAGTCTACACTCAGCCGCTTGGAGGGGACAGTGATCTGGTGAGAACCTCGTCTACTGCGATGTGTCGCCAGTGCTCTGGCCGCCGCTGGTGGGGCTGTGGGTGTCTGCGGGATTCTAATGACCTGCAGGTGTGCAGCCCTAAAGCAGTGGCCAGTAGGAGGAAGCCCAGATGTTCTGCAGAGCCTGAGCAGGGTGGATTTGCAGAGGCAGGATGCTAGTCCCTCTGTGAGGGAAGGCGACCCTGCAGGTGCACCCGCATCTCCTGGCTGTAATGGACGCCCAGTCACAGGGTCACATTCTCAGCTCAGGCAAGAGGAATGTTCCTGTAGATTTCCTCAGCAAGGAAATCTGTTCCACCATGGAGAGGTCAGCACAGGCCCTTTTAGCCAGAATGCTGGAGGAATGCAATTCAAAATGAGAAACTCCATTCTCTCCAAGCACCGTCACGTGCACTGTTGCACAAAATTCCCATTTGGGGTGCTGCATGAGGTTAGCGCTCCACAAATACTAAACCACATATTTGGTAGTTGCTAATACCCAAACCCCAGAGGCTTGCTAATCATGGATGAATGGAACAAACAGTTGTAGCCATACCAGATGAGATGAATGGGTCACGGGGTACAGTGGCCTTGCTTTAAGGCAATCCTCTGGTGCCAGAGCCAGCAGTCAATCAATGCTCTTGACTCTTTGGCTCAGTCAAGAATTCTACTAAGGAAAAGTGCAAGGGGTAAAAGAGCATGTGTCCATGCCCATGCTTCCATGGACACAGCCGGTCTGAGAGAGTGATGGAATTGTGATCTTTTGATAGTTTGATGATGTGGATCCATGAGGCAGGCCAGTTCCCCTAACCCTGAGAGTCACAAGGTTGCAAAGTTTTCATGTGATAGCCAGGAAGAGCAGCAGACTGGCCTAGCAGAATTCCTGCAGAGACACGGTCAGGTGGTCACAGAAGCTTGGAGGAAGGGAGGGAAGGCTGCTGTGGGAACCAGCTGTGTGGAGGGGTGAAGTTGAGTCTGGGCACTGGCAACATTGGAGCAGGAATTCCTTAGGACTGTTAGTGCAGAGGAGGGGAGAAGTTACCACATGCTGGGTGAGCACCCCTGGCTCAGAAATAGCTGCAGAGGGGACAAGAGCAAGAGCAACTCAGCACTCCCTCCCGGCATGCACCTCTCCTCCCATCAAGCCCTACCTGATGCAGCTTTCTCCTCTGAAAACTGTCCCTGTTGCAATCATCTTTCTTTTAAGCTGCTCAGTTGTTGCCAGCTGTCCTTGGCCAGCCAGTTGGGTCCTCATGTACCCTTCCTGCCTTTCCTAGTCCTGGTTCTGGCTGGGCTTGCCCACTGTGGCCTCCAGGAGGCAGCACGATGCAGTGCAGAGAAGGGATGAAGTGAAGCTCTGGAGTAGAGATTGCCACTAGCCATGAGATCTCTGGCTTTTTCCTTTGCTGCTCAGAGAAAACCTGTGAAATGGGGGTGGTGAGCACCCCCCAGGTGGGGAGAAGGTTGTGACACTGATGATGCAGGCACCTTCTTGATTCCATCTTCTTTGTTCCAAACTCACCAAGTTTTGCCTGTCCCGGGAAAGCCTTCTCTTCCATGCTACCCAGGAGCTTTCTGTACCCAGAGCTGTGGCAATGCAGAGTGTCTTCTGACCTCAGCTCTGTCACCTGGAGGCTCTCATGGTATCAAGTATGGCAACATCAGCCTTCTCTGGCAGTGCCCATGTCCTGTAGCCACTCTGCCCTTGCGGCAGTGTCACCACTTACCTACCTTTCTGTGCGTCCAATTAGAAGCCTCAGTCTGCTTGGAAAGCATGTAGAACACTGAGAAATGCTTTTCTGTCCTCAGCACTCTGGCAGGGGGGTTCTACTGCAAGCCTCCAAGACAATGTTTACAAAGCACGCTTGTCCCAGCCTTTGACCTCTCCTTATGCTCTCCCCGAAAGGGAGGGAGCAGGCCCAGTGGTCCCTTGCTCTTGTCTCTTGCAAGAGAAGGCTGGGAACAAAGATGATATCTCAAACCAGCTGAGAAATGCCATTGCTCCCCGTATCTCTTCTAAGTGAACTCCACAGGTAGCCTGGGTTGGCAGGCAGAAGGCAAAGCCAAGTATGCAAGCGCTGACTGCCCAAGAGAAGGAAATGCCAGTCTGCAAGGAGCAAGTTACAGGCTGGGGAAAACCATGCAGAAACAAGCTCCTGCACAGCATCATAGAGAATGGATGGTAATGGCAACACAAGTTTGCTATCCCTTTCCTTTAGGTACTATTCTACAGAGCATCCACTGTAAGGCAGGCAGGATGCTATTTGTCTCTAAGCAAAAGCCCATGCAAAAATCCACACAGCAGAGGAAAGTACTGATACCCAGCTCTTCTTGCCTGCACCTCTAGCTGGCCCTTCTTTTGTTCTTCACTTTTCAGCCCTCGTTCAGGCCATGCTTGTCCTCTGAGGCCTGCAGGAGGAGCCGAGGAAGGAGAGCAATGAGGGTGTGAGCATTTAAAATTATTTTTAGAAATTCAGAAACCATTGCAAACTTCAAAGTACATAAAACATGATTTTCCTGTGAACCACTTGGGCGTCATCTGACCTGAAGGCTCACTGCCCCCAGCTGCTCTGGCAGTTTCTGAACAAACAGGTGCATCTAACTTATTCACAGCAGCATCACCGAAATCAGAACATCCATGTTGGTGTTTTGCCCTAAGCTCATCTTCAGACTCCATTCAGCTATTCCAGTGGTCCCAATGACTTCTTCTGTAGCAAAGACATTCCAATCCAGCAGCAGACTTGTATTGTCTCTCCAGTCTCCTCTGACGGGGTGTCATGTTAAGTAGGAGGAAGGGAAATCTAGCTTTTGGAGGTCACTGGCTCACCAAGGGTTGGGGTGAAGTAGATGGTGGTGGGAAGGGTTGGTGGAGGAGGTTCTGGGTAGGAGGGGTTGTTGGTAGTGTTGGGTGGGAGGAGTTGTTGGTGGTGGGTGGGAGAGGTTGTTGGTGCTGGGTAGAGGGGTTGTTGGTGGTGGTACTGGGTGGAGGGGTTGTTGGTGGTGGGTGGGAGAGGTTGTTGGTGCTGGGTAGAAGGGGTTGTTGGAGTAAGTGCTGGGTAGGAGGGGTTGTTGTTGGTGCTGGATGAGAGAGATTGTTGGTGCTGGGTAGAGGGGTTGGTGGTGGTGGTGGTGGTACTGGGTGGAAGGGTTGGTGGTGGTACTGGGTGGAGGGATTGATGGTGGTGGTACTGGGTGGAGGGGTTGGTGGTGGTGGTACTGGGTGGAGGGGTTGGTGGTGGTGGTACTGGGTGGAGGGGTTGGTGGTGGTGGTACTGGGTGGAGGGGTTGGTGGTGGTGGTACTGGGTGGAGGGGTTGTTGGATGCTGGCTGACTCAGGTGTGAAGTCCCTTGAGCCTCAGAATGCTGTCCCTGGAGATTCGCATGGCCCAGAAATACCATGGGCCTGGGTCAAGGACCCAACTTTCCTTTGCCAGCTGCACTAGAGAACTCTGTAAGAAGTTTAATGTTTGACAGAGATGGGCCATGTTGTTGAATGAGACAGACAGGAGAACTATTTTGGAAAATGGATTTTATCCACTGTTTGTCCATTATAGTCTTCTGTAGCTCCCAATGAAATAAATGAACTTCAGACTTCTGAAATCCAATTTTCCCTCTATAAAAGATGCCATGAGAATGTGCATTTTTACTTTTTTTTTTTTTAAAGCAAGGATTATTATCTGTATTGGAAAAGCAGATTGAGATCTTCCATCCGCTGGTTTACTCGCCAAGTGGCTGCAATAGCTGGAGTTGAGCTGATCAGAAGTCAGGAGTCAGGAGCTTCTTCCAGATCTTCCATGTTGGGTGCAGGGTCCTAAGGACTTGGGGCCATCTTCAACTGCCTTCCCAGGTCACAAGCAGGAAGCTGGATGGGAAGTGGAGTAGCCGGAACATGAACTGGTGCCCATACGGGATTGTGGCATGTGCAAGTAGAGGATTCTAACCATTTGAAACAGGATTACCTTTTCACTGACTTGTCTGGAGCCTGACTTAGAGACCTGCTCAAATTATATCCCCCTTTTCCCATCTCACATGCCCCTGTTTAAACATGCACAGACTGGTCCAGACAAGGCACGAGGGCTGAGAAAATATTTATTTTGAAAATCATATGGTGGCTCAGATGATTAACAGGAATCTTAGTTAGAAAAACAAAAATAAGATAGTTTCATGTGAACAGATTTTTGAATTACTGAGTAGAGTAACATCTATTTGAATAATAGATCCACTGGCCCCAGAGGCCCACATGTTAGAGATTTAATTCCCAAAGTCTTCTGTCAGTAGCTAATGGACTAGGGTGAACACTTGATCTAATTATGGCTTATTTAGAATTTGTTATTATTCTAATTTAGGTCACTGAGGTGTGCCCTTGGAAGGGACAGATACGAGGGTTGGCTGTAAGGTTGAGTGGGGCCTCTCTGTTTCCTGCCTCACCGCAGGTGATCTTCCCTCTGGACCCGTTCCACCTCTAGTGTCCACATCAGATACCAGACCAATAAGGCTACCACAAGTGAGAACAAACCTTTTTAAGTTAGCTGCTCTCAGGTTTTTTGGTTAAGGCAATAAGAAAGCTGACTCATACAACGTCTAAGAGGAAAGGTGGGCGTGTTACTCTCAGGACTTGCCTGTAGGCTCCGATGGAGTGCTGCTGAGCAGCTCCTGTGTGCAAGGCGCCCTGGGCCGAGAATCTCCTGGCTTCTAACATTGCATTTCCAGAACGTCTCCTCACACAGATGTTAGGAAGGACTTTGCATGCTGACCAGCGCCTGGGGCCTGTCTCTCTGCTGGCTCTTGCTCCCAGGCTAATAGCACTCCTTGTCTAGAGCACTGCTTTTCTCCTCAGGGAAGACTCTGTTCTGATGCGGAAGCCATGGCAAAGGGCAACAACTCATTCAACACTGAGGAGTTGCTGGCATATGAGGATGGAATCTTTCGTTAGCAGCTTTAGGTTTTGAGAAGAAGGCCAACATCTCATGGCTCTTAGGATGCTAAGTCCATGAGGGACCACTTCTCAGAGAACATGGAATGTTTCTGATCAAGCATCAGCTCTTCCCATGGTTAGTGGAATTCACCAATTCCTGAGGTCTTGGGATTCAGTCACTGTGGGGAAGGTAACTGTACTGTCAGCCCACCCAGACAACATACTGTGTCTCTCTAGACCTCAGGGTGGACTGAAGTGAATTCACATAACCAAACAGAACAGCCTGCTTTGCTTTGTTAGCAAAATGACTTCTTCCTAACAGATATGGTTCATGCAGAGACAGAGAATTAATCTAAGGTAATGTTTCACTACTCAGCAATCAATGTAAAATACCCTTTCAAAAATTATTTACTTTTTGGAAGAAAAGGATCACAGAGTTGGTAAGAATGCTATCCTCCTTGGCCAGCACACACTTGGCTCACTGCTGGTCTTGACAGAGTTTTACTGTAAGAAATCATGAGCAGAAAACTGCATGGTGGCATGCACGGCCTGAGTCAGGAGCAGCCAGTGCAAGAACAGAAGCCTGCAGGGAGCTTACAGCCTGCCAGGCTGAAGCTCAGCACAGAGCCTGCAGTCCGTTCCATGATAGGAAACACAGTTGGGATCCTTTGGAAACTCTTTATATTCTAGGCAGTTGAGCAAAATGATGTCTGGCAAACTTTATTCTATGCCTAATGTGGGTGGATCAGGCAGTCACACTGCAGTGAGCTCTGCCGAGCTGTGCAGCTGGTCTGAGCTGATCATCTTTCGTGCTTAGTGGAGACCGGGGTCACTGCAATATCTGCCGCCTGCTGTTTCCTGCTCTTGGGACATACATGCCTCTTCATCGTGATTTCCTACCCTTCATATACCTAGCTCTACTTCACATTCACCGAATTAGCTCACAGTTTCTCTGGGTATTTCACAATTTTCTCTAGGAGAGTCTATTCTGCTATGTAACTCAATCTAAATGACTACGTCTAGATTTTTCTTTTGACTGTGAAGATTCTGCCTACCAACATATACCTCAGGCTGTCACGGGCATCTTGCATAAATACGAAACCTTGTTGAGGTCACTGTGTTCCCTGGATCTTGGAAATGGTGTTAACCCCATGGAACCGTCATCAACAGTCCTCACTTCAGCCTGAAGCGCATGGAACTGCGAACCAGCAGTCTGGAAGCCAGGAGGTTCTCAATCTATTTTTTTTTTTCTAACATTATATATATCAAAATCTGACAGTTGCTGATTAAGTATGTATAGGACATAGCACATACCCTGTGCTTCAGCACTGGCTGGAGGTGCTTATCGTCAGTATTGCACGCATCACAATTTGGATAGATCATCCCCAAGCCAGTTGGCCACCATGGTGGCCATTTCCTTGCTAAAGCTGATGATAAAAGCATGGGGAATGTTTTTCTCGCAGAGTCGAATATCTCCTTCTGGAAAATCTTTCTTGATGTCGTCGTAGTACTCTTTTGGACACCAGCGATCTGTAGTACCATAGTAAAATGTAAGCTACAAGAAAAGAAAAAACATTTAATTAGCAAACACGTTTCCCTTCTTACAGAGATACGACATGAGTGGTTAGCAGGCCATGGAGGCAGCAGCTGGCCCAGGCTCCCGCCACAGTGGCCCTCCTGAGGCAGGCAGCCAGCCAGGCTTCACGGTTTCCAGGAGGGTATTAGGAGGAATCTGATGGAAAGAAATTCACCAAGGGGCACCTGTGTATGACATAATTCACTAAAGGAACTCACCAGCAAAACTGTGTGCACTGAGGATGCCAGAGAGAAGGCAGCTGAGGATGAGGAAGACAGCTACTGGGTCATGGTCACTGAATGGCTAAAGGATCATTTAACACACTTAACTAGCTAGCTGTTCTACAGTGATGGAATGGTAGGCCCGTGACCATGCTGGTGGAATGAACATAACGATGGATCGGATACTCAGCAGTTTCAATGCAGCTGACCAGAGGGGATCAGCGTTCCGTGACAGTGTGGGGCACTTTAGCCTCCATGCGGCCGGATGGCCCTGCTGACTCTAACAGTGAGCAGGCTGAAGGCAGGCGGCCTCCTCTGAGGCTGAGTGCCTCACTAGACACCTTCTGCCGTGACCTGCACTGAGCGTGTGCACACACACACATACATGCAAACACATATGTGTATGTATATGAAGTCATCTTAAAAAGTTTGTGGAAAATGTATTATGAAAACTATGCATGGATTTCAGATTTTTCTGTACAAAAACATTTAAAAATTTTCAGCAATTTTCATATATTTGAAAGGCAGAGAGACAGTGACAGAGTTTCATCTGCTTGTTCACTCTTCAAGTGTCTGCAACAGCTGAAGCTGAGCCAGGCTGAAGCCATCTTCCACGTGGGTGATCGGGGCCCAAGCACTTGCATTATCATCTACTGCTCCCAGGGTGCACACTGGCAGGGAGTCGGAACTGGAAGCTGCCACAGGGGTTGTGTGGTATGACAGGTAAAGCTGCAGCTTTTGACACTGCATCCCACATGGAAGCCAGTTTGTGGCCCGGCTGCTTTACTTCCAATCCAGGTCCTAACTGATGGCCTGGGTCTCTGCACCCACATGGAGATGAGAAGACACTCCTGATTCCTGGCTTTGGCCTGGCACTATTCAGGCTACTGCAGCCTCTGGGAGTGAACTGGAAGATCTCTTTCTCTCTAATTCTGCCTTTCAAACAATAAGTATATCTTGAGGGGGAAAAAAAAAGGCAGTGGGGTAGTACTCGAGCCTAGGTACTCCAATGAGGAATAGGGGTGTTCCAAGTGGCTTCTTAAGTAAAAAAATGTTTTTACTTATTTTAGGGCCCAATGTGAAATCCTTGCCTTGCATGAGCTGGGATCCCATATTGGTACCAGTTCATATTCCAGCTGCTCCACTTCCTGTCCAGTCCCCTGCTTGTGACCTGGGAAAGCAGTAGAGGATGACCTAAAGCCTTGGGACCTTGCACCTGTGTGGGAGACCTAGAAGAAGCTCCTGGCTCCTATCTTCAGATTGGCTTAGCTATGGCCGTTGCAATCACTTGGAGAGTGGGTGGAAGATCTTTTCTGTCTCTCCTTTTCTGTAAATCTGCCTTTCCAATACAAATAAAATAAATCTTAAAAATCTACTTATTTAAAAACCAGTTATACATAGAGTGAAAGAGAGAGTGAGAGGTATTTTCCAGCTACTTGTTCACTGCCCAAATGGCTGCAATAGCCAGAGCTGTGCCAGGCCAAAGTCAGGAGCCAAAAGCTTTCTCTGGGTTCCCCACGTGAGGGGCAGAGGCCCAAGAACTTGGGTCATCTGCGGCTTTCCTAGATTAGCAGGGAGCTGGCACAAAAGCAGAGCAAATGAGACTGCAACTGGTGCTCATATAGGATGCTGGTACTTATGCCATGGTGCCAGCCCCTAGGTTTATTTTTTTTTTTATTCCTAATACCTGTTATTATTGCTTAACACTGGTGCCCAATTCCAGTCTTCAACTGGCCAGTTCAATTACTTGTAGCTTCCCATTTGCTTATTCAAATCCTTAGTCACTTATTAGTCTGTGCAGTAAGTGACTATCGAGTATCTATTAAAGATTTACTTGTTTTAATTGGAAAGGCAGATTTATAGAAAAGGAAAGATAGAGTGAAAGATCTATCTGCTAGTTCACTCTGCAAACACTGCAACAGCCAGAGCTGAGCTGACCCGAAGCCAGGGGTCAAGAGTTTCTTCCAGCTCTCCCACGCAGGTGCAGGGTCCCAAGGCTTTGGGCCGTCCTTTACTGCCTTCTCAGGCCACAAACAGGGAACTGGATGGGAAGTGGAGCAGCTGGGATACAAATCAGCTCCCAAAGGTGAGGATTTAGTTACTAGGCTATTGTGCAGGGCCCTGAGTATCTACTTTGTTAGGAAGCCGGAAAACTGTCTTGAGAGATTCAAGAGCCCAGAAGAGGGTCAACTTCTGAGAAGAAGCAGAGGGCAGGAAAGGGTCCTCATGGGGGAGAGGCCAAGTAGAGTCTAGAACCTGGAGGGAGCAGACTAAGCAAAGTCAAAGCATGGAAGAGGGAGGCCTGTAGGAGAACTGCAACTAACAGCAAATGGCTGGAATACTGGGGTATTCCGGTCAATGAACAAACCTGGGTGGCAGAGCAGATGGAGATGCGGTAGTGGACAGCTCTCCTCTGTCCATGTTAGGGAAGCTGCACATCATTTTGAAATCCACAGGTGCAGTGCCTCGAGCAGCTAGTCAATCAGGGAAATTACAAGTGACAGAGGCATGGATGGGAGAGGGAAGGTAAGGGCAACTGGTCCTAATGCCTACTGGTCGGAATCACTATATCCACTGCTGTCAAATCCTATGGCGTGAATGCAGGGCAGGTGAGACTGCGCTTCTAAAGTCACTGCTTATATGACAATAGCACTACGACTTAATCAGTGTTGGAAGAGGTGACTGGTTTAAAAACACCTCACAGAGGAAAATAATTCACGGAGTACTACAGACAGTACTGATTAATGACTAAGCCTTGAGTGGCAGACTTACTTGTGGCCTAGAGACTTCTCTGGCTATCACCTGGAGTTCAGCCAGCTTTCAAAGCTGCACAGGACCTTGGACTTACAGATCTACCACTTCAGTCATTCTTCCCAAGTATTCCACATGAGTGCATGCTTGGGTTGTTTTCTGCTACTTTTCCAGGAGCATTAGTAGGGAGCTGGCTCAGAACTGGAACCGCTGGGATTTGAACCAATGCCCATGTGGGATGCTGGCTTCACAGAGGCTTAATTCTGCTATGTCACAATGTTGGACTTGGGCAGGCCCCTTGGTAGATACTTTTTCTAATAGAAATCAATAAATAATAATTCAGGAGGTAGCATATTCTATACTTATCACGTATATCATCATCAAAGAGTCTGAATGGTGTCAAGAAATTTGGAAGTTTGGATGTCAAGCTGCTCTGGTGTCTTTTCCCAGGGCATGATCATGCAAGATGCTGGGAAAGCCACCTTGGGGTACGCACTCTCACCAATGCTTGGGATAGAGAGGAATCTTGCGGGAACTGTAGTATACAAAGGTCACCTTTGGGTTTCAAGGCACAAATCATATCCAAGTAGTTACGGGGCTTCCAGTGCACACTGCGTGTACCGGGAGCCACAACAGGAAGTGGTGCCACTTCAAGACGCACAAAAGTGAGGAACCCAGATTCCCACGTCTGCGACTTTTCTTTTTTCTTTTGTTTTATTTCCTCCTTCTTCTATGTATATATATATTTTAAAGATTTTACCTATTTTTATTTGAAAGGCAGAATTACAGAGAGGAAGCAAGAGGGGGAAGAGGAGAGAGCAGGGAGACAGAGTAAAAGAGAGACTCTTCCCTCCCCAAATGGCCACCAGAGCTGAGCCAATCCGAAGCCAGAATCCAGGAGCTTCCTCTGGGTCCCCTACATGGGTGGAGGGTCCCAAGGCTTTGGGCCATCCTCAACTGCTTTCCCAGGCCACAAACAGGGAGCTGGACTGGAAGCAGGACTGCTGGGACACGAGTTGGGACCCACATAGGATCCCAGCGCATGCAAGACCAGGACCCTAGATACTAGGCTACTCTGTTGGACCCTGGTTTTACTTTTTGATTCTCCATGACCAGCAGCCACTTACAGTGGGCTGGATTTGGGAGACCCTACCTACCTATTTGATAGAAGTGTCAAGTATTGAAAGCTTGGTTTTAAAGTTTCTTCTTTCAGCTGTATTCACTGAAGGGCTCTCTGAAAACCTTGGCTTGCAAACAAAACACATGGTTATCTGATGCCTTTATTTATACTGGCTCAAGACACTTCCTGTCCCCCGTAGATTGTTACAGGCAACAGACCTACCAGAGGACTGTATGCCTGTAACTGTAAGCAGGAAAGTGAAAAAGTGTGAGGTGTGTGGAGGTAGTGGTGGGGGCGGGAAAGGACAGGTGAGGTTGAAAGAAACAGAACTGACTGGTTATTCAAACACAGTGCTTAAGATGTAAGCTCTTAGTACGCTGGTATGTAAAAAAGAATCATGAAGGAAGCTGAGAACAGCATGCCAAGCTTGTGCCCTACACTTTCGACCTGTTCACACACTGTCCAGGCAGCAAAACTCCAAGGAAGGTGTTTTACCCCTGTGTAACAGAAAGGGAGACTGAGGCTTCGTGAGATCACCTTGCTTCAGCTGAAGCAATGGAGGAACTGCAAAGCTGGGTCCTGAACCCAGAGATGCTCTGCCCCAGCAGCACCTTTTACTAGCATTTATAACTTGCAGGGAGTGGATCGATGTTACTAAGATAGGTTGTGAAAATGAGAGAAGACCTACGGAGTAAGATGATGAGAGAGTCCTTGCTATGGAGTACCTCGGAGACACCGCATGGCATGGGCTGAGAACTGCTCTGAGAATGCCAGTCGTTCACCAAGGCTGCCAAGCCACGGGCAGCACGTTACCACTCAAAGGTTCAGGAGAAAGGAAACGAGCGCCAGCAGTCCACTGCTCCTGGGCTTTTGTTTTACGACTCTGA